CCCCCACATCGTGTGGACATCCACAGCAGCCGAAGGTGATCTCGATGCGCGTCTTTAAACGTGGATGGGAATAAAAACCGGAGGACCCGGAGCGGGAATGAAAGAGCATTCCACGGCTTGTCGGATACCTCCGTAATGACAACAGAGCCTGCATGCGGTGTGAGTGGACTGGTGGCCACGGGAGGTAATGACAGGGGAGTCAGTTGTGAGTATGAAGGGACTGGTGGCCACGGGAGGTAATGACAGGGGAGTCAGTCGTGAGTGCGAAGGGACTGGTGGCTACGGGAGGTAATGACAGGGGAGTCAGTTGTGAGTATGAAGGGACTGGTGGCTACGGGAGGTAATGACAGGGGAGTCAGTTGTGAGCGTGAGTGGACTAGTGGCCACGGGAGGTAATGACAGGGGAGTCAGTTGTGAGGCGAAGGGACTGGTGGCCACGGGAGGTAATGACAGGGGAGTCAGTTGTGAGGCGAAGGGACTGGTGGCCACGGGAGGTAATGACAGGGGAGTCAGTTGTGAGGCGAAGGGACTGGTGGCCACGGGAGGTAATGACAGGGGAGTCAATTGTGAGTATGAAGGGACTGGTGGCCACGGGAGGTAATGACAGGGGAGTCAGTTGTGAGTATGAAGGGACTGGTGGCCACGGGAGGTAATGACAGGGGAGTCAGTCGTGAGTGCGAAGGGACTGGTGGCCATGGGAGGTAATGACAGGGGAGTCAGTTGTGAGTGTGAAGAGACTGGTGGCCACGGGAGGTAATGACAGGGGAGTCAGTTGTGAGCGCGAAGGGACTGGTGGCCACGGGAGGTAATGACAGGGGAGTCAGTTGTGAGCGTGAAGGGACTGGTGGCCACGGGAGGTAATGACAGGGGAGTCAGTCGTGAGTGCGAAGGGACTGGTGGCTACGGGAGGTAATGAGAGGGGAGTCAGTTGTGAGTGTGAGTGGACTAGTGGCCACAGGAGGTAATGACAGGGGAGTCAGTTGTGAGTGTGAAGGGACTGGTGGCCATGGGAGGTAATGACAGGGGAGTCAGTTGTGAGTATGAAGGGACTGGTGGCCACGGGAGGTAATGACAGGGGAGTCAGTTGTGAGTGCGAAGGGACTGGTGGCCACGGGAGGTAATGACAGGGGAGTCAGTCGTGAGTGCGAAGGGACTGGTGGCCACGGGAGGTAATGACAGGGGAGTCAGTTGTGAGTGTGAAGGGACTGGTGGCCACGGGAGGTAATGACAGGGGAGTCAGTTGTGAGGCGAAGGGACTGGTGGCCACGGGAGGTAATGACAGGGGAGTCAGTTGTGAGTATGAAGGGACTGATGGCCACGGGAAGTAATGACAGGGGAGTCAGTTGTGAGTATGAAGGGACTGGTGGCCACGGGAGGTAATGACAGGGGAGTCAGTCGTGAGCGCGAAGGGACTGGTGGCCACGGGAGGTAATGACAGGGGAGTCAGTTGTGAGGCAAAGGGACTGGTGGCCACGGGAGATAATGACAGGGGAGTCAGTTGTGAGTGTGAAGGGACTGGTGGCCACGGGAGGTAATGACAGGGGAGTCAGTTGTGAGGCGAAGGGACTGGTGGCCACGGGAGGTAATGACTGGGGAGTCAGTTGTGAGGCGAAGGGACTGGTGGCCACGGGAGGTAATGACAGGGGAGTCAGTTGTGAGTGTGAAGGGACTGGTGGCCACGGGAGGTAATGACAGGGGAGTCAGTTGTGAGGCGAAGGGACTGGTGGCCATGGGAGGTAATGACTGGGGAGTCAGTTGTGAGGCGAAGGGACTGGTGGCCACGGGAGGTAATGACTGGGGAGTCAGTTGTGAGCGCGAAGGGACTGGTGGCCACGGGAGGTAATGACAGGGGAGTCAGTTGTGAGGCAAAGGGACTGCTGGCCACGGGAGGTAATGACAGGGGAGTCAGTCGTGAGTGCGAAGGGACTGGTGGCCACGGGAGGTAATGACAGGGGAGTCAGTTGTGAGTGTGAAGGGACTGGTGGCCACGGGAGGTAATGACAGGGGAGTCAGTTGTGAGGCGAAGGGACTGGTGGCCACGGGAGGTAATGACAGGGGAGTCAGTTGTGAGTATGAAGGGACTGATGGCCACGGGAAGTAATGACAGGGGAGTCAGTTGTGAGTATGAAGGGACTGGTGGCCACGGGAGGTAATGACAGGGGAGTCAGTCGTGAGCGCGAAGGGACTGGTGGCCACGGGAGGTAATGACAGGGGAGTCAGTTGTGAGGCGAAGGGACTGGTGGCCACGGGAGATAATGACAGGGGAGTCAGTTGTGAGTGTGAAGGGACTGGTGGCCACGGGAGGTAATGACAGGGGAGTCAGTTGTGAGGCGAAGGGACTGGTGGCCACGGGAGGTAATGACTGGGGAGTCAGTTGTGAGGCGAAGGGACTGGTGGCCACGGGAGGTAATGACAGGGGAGTCAGTTGTGAGTGTGAAGGGACTGGTGGCCACGGGAGGTAATGACAGGGGAGTCAGTTGTGAGGCGAAGGGACTGGTGGCCATGGGAGGTAATGACTGGGGAGTCAGTTGTGAGGCGAAGGGACTGGTGGCCACGGGAGGTAATGACTGGGGAGTCAGTTGTGAGCGCGAAGGGACTGGTGGCCACGGGAGGTAATGACAGGGGAGTCAGTTGTGAGGCAAAGGGACTGCTGGCCACGGGAGGTAATGACAGGGGAGTCAGTTGTGAGGCGAAGGGACTGGTGGCCACGGGAGGTAATGACAGGGGAGTCAGCTGTGAATGCGAAGGGACTGGTGGCTGCGGGAGGTAATGACAGGGGAGTCAGTTGTGAGCGCGAAGGGACTGGTGGCCACGGGAATGTTCGAGGAGGGAGCTTGGTCAGGCGAAAGAAGAGGGCGGTAGAGCGTGCCGGTGGGGCGAGCGTCCAGAGTCAGCGAGAGTGATCGAGAAGGGGGAGGGGGGGGCGTGACCTCGCGTTGGTATATAAAGGGGAGATGCGCGGGAGACTCGGGGCTGTCGCGGTGGGGATCTCCGCCTGATGTCAAGTGAACGCGTCTTCAGCAAAAGTGCCATCTCAAGAGAAGCTGCGTCAAGTCGTCATTAAACGAGTAAAGGTTCCCGGCTCCCGGGTGTGCCGACCGACGCCAAATTCACCTGAGCACGCGCCTCCCTTCCTCCGTGTCCGCCATAGCCCTCCGAAGTCGACGCAATGCGGAGAGCCCGGTGGTCTCGCTCAGCACGGCCACCATGTCTAGACAACGGGAAGCTTTTACTCCCCGGCGCAACCGGTTGGCGGGCTGAAGGAGTAACCGATCGGCGGGCGTTCGTTTAGGCGACGGAGAGGGGGCGGCGGGGGGGGGGGGGGGGGGGGGGGGGGGGGGGGGGGGGGGTTACGCGACACAACATTCATACTTCACGCGATCTGACCCACTGTCGCGAAAGCCTCCAACGTGTTAAACGCGAATTGCAGAGAGACAACCGGAACCGGGGGCCTGAACCAGCGGCCGCCTCGCCGCTGAGGCCGTCGCGTGCCGTGTGTGTGAGGCTTGCGGGCGGCCCGCGGGCCTCTGGGTGGACCCACCCCGAGATGACCGGCAGGTGAACCGCCCATGCCGACACAGGACTCGCAATCAGGATAACGACGGCTCCACCTGTGTAGCCGTTGGCGGACTACTGGGCCGGGGTGCTGTCAGCGAGCGTCCCGTGAAGGAAGCCGACACGATGTGGGGGTTGGGTGGTTAACACCACGCCCGGACGTCTCTGCCTCCGCGCAGTGCCGGATGATCCTAGTAGCAAAAGTAGCTACAAAAGTAGTAGCTACTACACGTGTAGTAGCTACTACACGTAGCTACAAATGTAGTAGCTACTACAAGTGTAGTAGTAGTAGCTACTACAAGTGTAGTAGTAGCTACTACAAGTGTACTACTACACTTGTAGTAGCTACTACTACACTTGTAGTAGCTACTACATGTGTAGTATCTACACGTGTAGTAGTATCTACATGTAGTAGTAGCTACGGGCCCCGCACTTTCAAGGGGCCCGCGCTAAACGCTTTCAAGCTATCAATTCCGGTTCAGTGATTCTGCACTGGCTCTATTACTATAGTACTACACCACCTTCAACTTTTATGAACGACTGGGCGTTTAAGGTTAGCGATTTGTCGTATTATCTGGCTGCGCAAGCAAATGAAAAAATACAATTTACTTGACTATGCAAGCAAAAAAAATGTACGTGTTTTCATATTCGCATGTTTTTTTTGTTTGTTTGTTATTTAAGGCCCCCTTTAGAACGTATGGCTACAGGTGCCCGCACCTAGCTTCATCCGGAGCGAGTCGACATCTCCCAGCCGCGGCGAGATGCGACCTCGCATAGACGCTCACCGTGGCGGTAGGGGTTGTAGAGCGACATGAACGCCGATCCGGCCGCAAGCAACGCTCTCTGCTGCGGAGTGACGCGTTGGTGCGTCGGGTAAAGTTTATCGCCCTCTCCTCCTCCTCCTCTTCCCTGATCCTCCCGAAGTCTCCTCGCCTCACCCGCCTTCTCCCGAGCTCCCGGCGCCTCCGTGTTGCCATTCCACGCAGCTGAGAGGGGTGGGGGGGAGGGGAAATGTAACGGAAGCTAAGCAAGTGTCGGTCTGGTTAGATTCACATAGAGACATCCATAGATTCACACAGAGACCCACAGACTCGTACAGAGACCCAGAGACTCGCACAGAGACCCACAGACTTGCACTGAGACCCACAGACTTGCACTGAGACCCACAGACTTGCACTGAGACCCACAGACTCGCACAGAGACCCAAAGACTCACACAGAGATCCATAGACTCGCACCGAGACCCACAGACTCGCACTGAGACCCACAGACCTGCACAGAGACCCACAGACTCGCACAGAGACCCAAAGACTCGCAGCGACCCACAGACTCACACAGAGATCCATACACTCACACAGAGATCCATACACTCACACAGAGATCCATACACTCACACAGAGACCACCGTCTGACCTCACCTGGGTCATCTCCGATATTAGGAAGCTACTGGACCTATGCTGGACTTTTAAATCATCATTGAGATTGACAAACTCATATTCTTAGTTTTTTCGGTAAAGTCACGTTGAAGAGAAACAACAAAATAACAAAATATATATAAAACAATAAAAAATTCTCACGACGTTTCGACCATAACTCAAACGGTCATCATCAGGTGTGTCGGTTTGCATAAATTTATTTTGAAAACGGCATATTTATTTATTTATTTATATATATAACGTTTGCGTCACGCGCAACGATTGGCTGTTTGCCAGGACTAGTCCATCTATTTTTTGAAAAGAGGAGGGGGGAGACGAAATTTGTTTTTATGTATGCTGTCTGAAAGCCACTGTAAGCGTGAACAATCAATCAAGAACTGAAATGATTTATCAAATCTTTCCAATGATTGCTAAGATAGAATCCATCTTCTCGGTTGAAATTGTCTCTGTGTTTGTATATGTGGATAGCCTCATGAACGAATCTCTCATGGAAGCCAGATGGCTTACAAAGAACCTCCGTCTTGGAAAAGTCAATGGCATGTGAGCCTACTGAATTAGAACAATGATCTGCTACGGCCGAGGTGTTGGTCCTACCGTGTTTAAGGTCTGCTTTATGTTCACGAATGCGGTCCGAGATATGGCGTTTGGTTTCTCCAATGTAACTACTACCACAGAGGCAACTTAGTTTGTAGACACCAGGGTATTGTATGTCCGGAATCACATCTTTTACAGATGGAACCAGATCACGGATTTTATGTAATGTGTTGAAACGGACCTGGATCTTGTGTTTATTCAAGATTTTGGAGATCTTTTTTGTGATCCCAGCAATGTAGGGTAAAGTGATGGTTTTGAAAGGCTCCTCAAGAGGGTTCTTCTTCATGGTTTGAGTGATAGCTTTGCAGATTGTATAGTCGGAGTAACCATTAGCCCTAAGAGCTTGGTGTACGTGCTTGAGTTCACTGCTTATGTGTTCCTGGTCGGATATGCATTGGGCTCTATGATACAGAGTCTTGATGAGAGAATTCTTCTGTGATGGATGGTGGTGGGAATCCGGTTTCAGATAAGCATCCGTATGGGTAGCTTTCCTGTAGACAGAGTGGCTCATTGAACCATCAGGTCTCTTTTTAATTAGGACATCCAAAAAAGGTATCTTGCCATCTATTTCGACTTCCATGGTAAATCTGATGGCTGGGTGTATGGAATTGATGTGGTCGAAGAATTGGTCTAGAGCAGGCCGGCCATGTGGCCAGATGACAAAAGTGTCATCCACGTACCTCTTCCATAAGGTTGGGTGCAGAGTGGCAGTCTGGATGGCGTCAGTCTCAAATTTCTCCATGAAAATGTTAGCTATAACTGGAGAAAGGGGGGAGCCCATTGGGGTGCCCTCAGTTTGTTTGTAGAAAGTTCCATTCCAAGTGAAGTATGTATTGGTTAAACAGTGTCTCACCAGGGGGGGTACCTCAGTGTTTAGTCCTTGATGAACCAAGTCTTCAATGATTGCAATGGTGTCAGGTACAGGAACCTTGGTGAATAAGGAAACTACATCAAAACTGACAAGCAGGTCGTCTGGGGACAGGGAAATACCCTTGATTGTTGATACCAGGTGAGTCGAATTTTGTACCGCAGAGGTGGTCTTTCCAGTGAAAGGACGCAGGATTTCAGACAAAAAACGAGCTAGTTTGTAGGTGGGGGAGCTGATAGTAGAGACTATGGGACGAAGAGGTGTATCAACTTTATGTATTTTTGGTAAGCCGTATAATCTTGGTGGCCTGGCAGCAGAAGGTTTCAACGAAAACTGTTTAGATTGATCAATTAATGCGGTTGAATCAGAAATTATTTTGTTGGTTTGTGTGACGAGGCTGTTGGTGGGATCTCTTTTTATTTTTGTATAACTACCATCGTCGAGTAATTCTTTAATTTTGTTGTTGTATTCTATTTTATCCATGATAACAGTAGCATTGCCTTTGTCAGCTGAGAGAACTACAATATCATTCCTCTTTTTTAATTTATATAATTCAAAACGCTCATCTTTGCTGAGGTTGCTAGCTGGCATCTTAGCGTTTTTGAGGGTTGCAGCGATTTCAGATCTTGCTACGTCTGCAGCGATGTGACCCAGGCCCCTGAGAGCAACGTCTACTTGGGCAATTATATCATTAACTGGTATGTGTTTAGGTGTGACTGCAAAGTTTAGACCTTTAGCTAAAACGGATTTCAGACCATCGGAAATAGAACTGTTACTGCGATTAATTACGACTTTATTAACGTCTAACTTTTTGGTGTGTGGGTCCGGTCTTTTGTTGAATAGGAGGTTAAATTTGGAAATCAGGTTTTCCTTACATTTGGTCGACATAGTAGCAGCTGAAGAGGCAGTCATATTGTCTACATGTTCCCAATCCGATGTGGACATTATTGCCGTCAATGATAAGTGTCTTGTCTAACTGATCTAGTTCAAGACACTCTACAAATCACACTTATCATTGACGGCAATAATGTCCACATCGGATTGGGAACATGTAGACAATATGACTGCCTCTTCAGCTGCTACTATGTCGACCAAATGTAAGGAAAACCTGATTTCCAAATTTAACCTCCTCTTAAACAAAAGACCGGACCCACACACCAAAAAGTTAGACGTTAATAAAGTCGTAATTAATCGCAGTAACAGTTCTATTTCCGATGGTCTGAAATCCGTTTTAGCTAAAGGTCTAAACTTTGCAGTCACACCTAAACACATACCAGTTAATGATATAATTGCCCAAGTAGACGTTGCTCTCAGGGGCCTGGGTCACATCGCTGCAGACGTAGCAAGATCTGAAATCGCTGCAACCCTCAAAAACGCTAAGATGCCAGCTAGCAACCTCAGCAAAGATGAGCGTTTTGAATTATATAAATTAAAAAAGAGGAATGATATTGTAGTTCTCTCAGCTGACAAAGGCAATGCTACTGTTATCATGGATAAAATAGAATACAACAACAAAATTAAAGAATTACTCGACGATGGTAGTTATACAAAAATAAAAAGAGATCCCACCAACAGCCTCGTCACACAAACCAACAAAATAATTTCTGATTCAACCGCATTAATTGATCAATCTAAACAGTTTTCGTTGAAACCTTCTGCTGCCAGGCCACCAAGATTATACGGCTTACCAAAAATACATAAAGTTGATACACCTCTTCGTCCCATAGTCTCTACTATCAGCTCCCCCACCTACAAACTAGCTCGTTTTTTGTCTGAAATCCTGCGTCCTTTCACTGGAAAGACCACCTCTGCGGTACAAAATTCGACTCACCTGGTATCAACAATCAAGGGTATTTCCCTGTCCCCAGACGACCTGCTTGTCAGTTTTTATGTAGTTTCCTTATTCACCAAGGTTCCTGTACCTGACACCATTGCAATCATTGAAGACTTGGTTCATCAAGGACTAAACACTGAGGTACCCCCCCTGGTGAGACACTGTTTAACCAATACATACTTCACTTGGAATGGAACTTTCTACAAACAAACTGAGGGCACCCCAATGGGCTCCCCCCTTTCTCCAGTTATAGCTAACATTTTCATGGAGAAATTTGAGACTGACGCCATCCAGACTGCCACTCTGCGCCCAACCTTATGGAAGAGGTACGTGGATGACACTTTTGTCATCTGGCCACATGGCCGGCCTGCTCTAGACCAATTCTTCGACCACATCAATTCCATACACCCAGCCATCAGATTTACCATGGAAGTCGAAATAGATGGCAAGATACCTTTTTTGGATGTCCTAATTAAAAAGAGACCTGATGGTTCAATGAGCCACTCTGTCTACAGGAAAGCTACCCATACGGATGCTTATCTGAAACCGGATTCCCACCACCATCCATCACAGAAGAATTCTCTCATCAAGACTCTGTATCATAGAGCCCAATGCATATCCGACCAGGAACACATAAGCAGTGAACTCAAGCACGTACACCAAGCTCTTAGGGCTAATGGTTACTCCGACTATACAATCCGCAAAGCTATCACTCAAACCATGAAGAAGAACCCTCTTGAGGAGCCTTTCAAAACCATCACTTTACCCTACATTGCTGGGATCACAAAAAAGATCTCCAAAATCTTGAATAAACACAAGATCCAGGTCCGTTTCAACACATTACATAAAATCCGTGATCTGGTTCCGTCTGTAAAAGATGTGATTCCGGACATACAATACCCTGGTGTCTACAAACTAAGTTGCCTCTGTGGTAGTAGTTACATTGGAGAAACCAAACGCCATATCTCGGACCGCATTCGTGAACATAAAGCAGACCTTAAACACGGTAGGACCAACACCTCGGCCGTAGCAGATCATTGTTCTAATTCAGTAGGCTCACATGCCATTGACTTTTCCAAGACGGAGGTTCTTTGTAAGCCATCTGGCTTCCATGAGAGATTCGTTCATGAGGCTATCCACATATACAAACACAGAGACAATTTCAACCGAGAAGATGGATTCTATCTTAGCAATCATTGGAAAGATTTGATAAATCATTTCAGTTCTTGATTGATTGTTCACGCTTACAGTGGCT